CAGACCGCCGCCATATAACTGGAATATTGCTGAGCGCGGCGTTAAACAACAAACAAGCATATTTGACACAATGATACATCGTAGATTATAAACATTATTCTCAATTTTGCGCTGTCAAATCGTACGCGAAATGATGACAGAACGCGGAAAAATCAACTCTGTCTTAATGTATTTTTAAAAAATGGCAATTTCTAATCAATCAGTGGGACAGAGTGTCACGTCCTGCGGATAAAAGTATAGTTAAATCAACTTTACTTCATAACCGAATGACGTGTGGCACTTAAACCGTATAGGGTTTGAGACATTCATTCAAAGCAGATTGTGGTAAGAAATTTTATGTGACGGTTTTGTCGCTCGCTCTCTCTCTCTCTCTCTCTCTCTCTCTCTCTCTCTCTCTCTCTCTCTCTCTCTCTCTCTCTTCTCTCTCTCTCTCTCTCTCTCTCTCTCTCTCTCTCTCTCTCTCTCTCTCTCTCTCTCTCTCTCTCTCTCTCTCTCTGTGTGTGTGTGTGTGTGTGTTTCGGTTTGCTCAGTCGTACACTTACATGTATAGTACGTTGTAAAACAGAAACAAAACCGAAGCATACATGTAGGACAAACTGATTAGTTAGGTACAGGATTTTAGCGTACATTCATTCTACTTTATTCTTACTTTATTTTCTTCTTTATAGCACGTTACATCAAATTTACAGTTGCATTTAATTTACTGTTATATTTAATTTACTGTTATGTTTAAATTAACTCTATCCGCAATGTTACATGATAACGACGTATATCTGACTACGTTTGTTGCTGCATGAATTACTTCATTCTGCACAGAATGTTATATATCTTAAATCACCGTTACATGGTTTTTTTAAGGTTACTTTTAATTATGGTACTATTCAGTTTACCTTTACACTGTTAGTTGGTAGATACGTGATAAATTCGTACATCTCACTACGTTTGCTGTTGAAGTGCCTATGAATTACTTCATTTTTCACAGTATTTTAATTCACCGTTAAGCGGCGGTCACATCTTACGTCATGACTGACTGACTGACTGAGTTTGGTTTTACGCCGCTTTTAGCAATATTCCAGCAACATCACGGCGGGGGACACCAGAAATGGGTTTCACACATTTTACCCATGTGGGGATTCGAACCCGGGTCTTCGGCGTGACGAGCCAACGCTTTAACCACTAGGCTACCCCACCGCCCCCTTACGTCATGAACGTTGTTGTCCGTAACGCAGTTCACGGCAGTGCCACTACGGTGAACTAGATTGGAGCAGGGTGTAGTAGGTTGGAAGGAGTCGTAAACCGTAGTTTTATCGTAATGCAGTGTTGCCACGGTGTACCTCGGCCAACACAACGGTGCAGTAGGCTCAATTACGGTCTGCTGGGGAGAACTTGGGTCAACCACGTCCAACCACGTTGAAACTACGGTATCAGTAGGGTCTTGGCATTCAAGCTAACCGTAGAGATATTGAAGATGAAAATTGTTTGGTCTAACCACGAACAAATCATGGGTTTGCTGTAGTTCAAAGTACGGTCATAACTACGGTGATCTACGTTGAACTACGCTTAAATACGTTTAACTAAGGTCAAGTACGGTCTGCAACGGCCAACTTCGTTCATCCCCACTACGGTAAAATGTGATCGCCGCTTTATATGTAATTTACCGTTATATGTAATATACCGTTATATGTGATTTACCGTTACAACAATGTCAGATCGGGTCAGCTTGGCACACGTACCAAGGCTCCACATCTTGCAGAGAATATTGCACAATTGACTCATAAGTGTGATTTGGGCCATGGTATTGTCAGTTTGATGTATAATAATGGATAAGGTTCGACTGATAAGGAAGTGTGTTAAATGAAGCCAAATGAAACGTCATAAAGCTGGAATGCTATTGACTTCGAGGCGAAAACGACCAAACTATTTTCCTTTGAGTTCGAAACCAATGTCACTGTGCCTTACAAATATGATGAAAGGAAATTAGCATATATTTACGAAACATGCCCTAATTCAGGGATTGTTGATGCACACTGGTTTTATTTGCTTGTTTACAGTTGGAGACCTCGAGGCAGTATAAAGTATACTTAAGAAGGAAACGCGAGCAACTTCACATTGCCCAGGACATAACTGCAGGTTGGTAAGTTATTTCATTGCAACAAACATAGGTCTCATTCTTGATATGCCTAATCCATCTAGGGTCCATGCAGATAGCAAAGGCACTGTAAGTCCCCATGGTCCTGGTATGGTGATCTACCTTCAGATGCTGGCGATCTCTAGCCTGTTTTTATATTGTGTATTGTTATTATTTTAATGTTTATGCTTGTCTTAATTCTAACTGTGATATATTAGTTGTTTCACTGTCCTGTGGCGAAATGCTTATATGACTTACATGTCTATTTTTTATGAATGTTAAATTTGTTCTCGTCACTATATGGCTGAAAACCCGTGAAGATCCGGGTTAGAATTGATCTTCAGTAACCCATGCTTGTCATAAGAGGCGCCTGACAAGATTGGGTGGTCAGACTCGCTGACTTGGTTTACACATGTCATCGGTTCCCAATTGCGCAGATCGATGCTCACGCTGTTGATCACAGCAATTTGACAGACAGTTGATTGACAGACAATGAACTAGAAGGTTAATTAGGGTAACCTACAGGTATAATGGAACATGCCACTGTCTAGGGGTAGAGTAGGGTGAGCCTGAAACAGGTTCGTTACTGAGAAGTTTGATTGTGCGAAAATAGAACTTTGTTGTGATTAAATGCCTTCTCTTCTCAAAATTGTTTTTACCATCAATTACTATCGAATATAAAAACGGGCTTGTGACTGAGAGATGTGATTGTGTTTATTGATTGAAACATAATTTATCCATTCAAGAAAATGATTTGGCACAAGTTATCCAACTTAGTAAAGCCCTCTCCCAATAATAGAATATTTACAACAGAAGTTAACTGAGAAATAACGTTTTGTTTGAGAGATATAGACAAGTACAAATTTGAAAACATTCAGTAAATGAAAGATTTTCAGTAAATGAGAGACCTGCATTACCATGTAAGATAAGATGAATACCAATCAGTGTTCTAATTTTAATAATACTTTCTAAAGATTGTAACAGTTTATGTCTATTAATAATATACAACCCGTGAAGGTCCGGGTTAGAATATTGGTCTTCAGTAACCCATGCTTGTCGTGAGAGGCGACTAACGCGATCGGATGGTCGGGCTCGCTGACTTGGTTGACACATGTCATCGGTTCCCAATTGCGCAGATCGATGCTCATGCTGTTGATCACTGGATTGTCTGGTCCAGACTCGATTATTTACAGACCGCCGCCATATTGCGGGAATACTGCTGAGTGCGGCGAAAAACGTAACTCACTCACACACTGTATGGCTGAAATATTGCCGAGGTGACGTTGAATTTTAACCAACTCACTCACTTGATATGTATGTCTTTGCACATCACCTACAGAGAACTGCTAATGCACGTCGTATGTTCCGGTTGTCCTCAACCCTTCTCGTAGATAAAATAATACATATACAATTACGGTTTAAAGTATTTGTATATGTGAGTAAATATATTAAATGTCGCTTTTATATGTAAAATTGCAACAGGGTTACATGTACATACATTTGCATATACGTTTCTATATATAAGTCGGGGGGCGGCGTGGTAGCCTTGTGGGTAAAGCGTACGCTCGTCACGCTGAAGACGCGGGTTCGATTCCCCACATGGGTGCAATGTGTGAAGCCAATTTCTGGTGTCCCCCGTCGTGATATTGCTGGAATATTGCTAAAAGCGGCATAAAACCTTACTCACTCGCTATACAAGTCGAATCCCTGAGATGATCACCTTGATCACCTTTGTCATCTAACATTAAGCTGGCACACCGTGATTTAACTGAAACATGTTAAAAGTGGCGTTAAACCTCACTCACTCACTCTTTCACTCTCTCACTCTTTACACTCATTCACTCACTCTTTCACACACGCACTCAATCAATCAATCAAATGTGCAATCATATTTACATTCTTTACAGTTAATGACATATACGCACCTCATATTTATAGCTGGATAAAAAACATGCAATACATATATGTACATCGTCATAAGTTCCAATAAAAACAAATTAATGAAATTGAAATGCCCGCTTATACCCGCAGAAAGACATTTGGGTTGCACAGTTTCGAACGAGTGCGCGTCCTTTCAGACTCACAGTGCTTGATATCGCACCTTCCCTCAGAGGGGATCAATTTAAAAGTTAACATATGTCGTCAGCATGATCAGTTCTCATGCTGTTCATCACTGGAGACCGCCTCCGTGGTGTAGTGGTTAGAGCGTCCGCCCGGAGAGCGGAAGGTCGCGGATTCGATCCCCGACCGTGTCATACCAAAAAGACGTTAAAATATGGTACTTGTTGGTCCCTGCCTGGCGCTCGGCATTAATGGGTACAAGAAGGACTGGTCGGCTCGGAGTCAATATAATGTGTCTGAGTGGGGTATTCATGCTTCACTGCGGCATGGTATCTCAGTGGGCTAGCACTACAAAACCAGCTTAAGTCTGGGCTAGTACAAGCAGTCGCACATGCACATACACAGGCACACACGTTGTCATATGAGCGAAATATTCTCAAGCACGACGTAAAACCCAAATTCACCTCACCTCACCTCATATACTCACTGGATTGTCTGGTCCAGAATCGATTATCTACAGTGGGTGAGTCGAGTTTTAGCAATATTCCAGCAACATCACGGCGGGGCAACCAGAAATAGGCTTCACACAATGTGCCCATGTGGGGAATCGAACCCGGGCCTTCGTCGTGACGAGCGAACGCTTTAACCGCTAGGCTACCCCACCGCCTCAAATTATCGACATACCGGAGCAATATAGCTGGAATAATACTGAGTGCGGCGTTAAACAACAATAACAACAACAACAACAACCATACACAGTTAATGGACTGACTAATCTTTTGTCCTTATATGCTTTTACAGAACCGTCAACATGGCGTCACTGACAGTCGGTCTCTTCCTGGCTGCTGTGGCGGTTATGGTGTCTGGGGAAGGCGTCCTAGCTCGCCAACCTTTCTTCCGTACTGCGAACCACGGACCCTACAGCTTACACAAACCCTTCTACCAACCAAGTGCACATCACTACAACCAGAAAAGTAAAAAGCTACAGGACCACAACATCGGTACTGGATATAAAAATGAACATTACCCACCGCACGGTCAGCAAAAAGGTCACTATCTACCTCCCAATCCGCCACATGGCCACTTCCCACCGCACGTCAAGAAAGAAGGCCATTACCCACCGTACGGCAAGAAACAAGGCCACTATCCTCCGTATGGCAAGAAAGTAGGCCACTACCCACCGTACGGCAAGAAAGAAGGCCATTTCCCACCGCACGGGAAGAAAGTAGGCCACTACCCTCCGTACGGCAAGAAACAAGGCCATTTTCCATCGCACGGCAAGAAAGTAGGCCACTACTCACCGTACGGCAAGAAAGAAGGCCATTTCCCACCGCACGGCAAGAAAGAAGGCCACTACCCACCGTATGGAAGAAGAAGGCCACTACCCACCGCACGGGAAGAAAGAAGGCCACTTCCCACCGCATGGGAAGAAAGAAGGCCACTACCCACCGCACGGGAAGAAAGAAGGCCACTACCCACCGCACGGGAAGAAAGAAGGCCACTACCCACCGTACGGGAAGCAAGAAGGCCACTACCCACCGTACGGGAAGAAAGAAGGCCACTACCCACCGCACGGGAAGAAAGAAGGCCACTACCCACCGTACGGGAAGCAAGAAGGCCACTACCCACCGTACGGGAAGAAAGAAGGCCACTACCCACCGCACGGGAAGAAAGAAGGCCACTACCCACCGTACGGGAAGCAAGAAGGCCACTACCGACCGTACGGGAAGCAAGAAGGCCACTACCCACCGCACGGGAAGCAAGAAGGCCACTACCCACCGTACGGGAAGAAAGAAGGCCACTACCCACCGTATGGAAAGAAAGAAGGCCACTACCCACCGCACGGGAAGAAAGAAGGCCACTACCCTACGCACGGGAAGAAAGAAGGCCACTACCCACCGTATGGAAAGAAAGAAGGCCACTACCCACCGTACGGGAAGAAAGAAGGCCACTACGCGCACGGGGCTCAACAAGCCAACCAGTTGACCTACGGACACGAGCAAAACAAAACACAACATCACATCAAGAACCCGACCAAAGACAAGAAACAAGCACAGAAACCTTCCTACCTGAAACCTGGGCACCAGCAACCTTACTACCCTCCACAAGGTCATGTACATCCCAATTACCTTCCCAAGGGACAGCCCCACTACACTCCACAAGGACACGTGCATCCCAATTACCTTCCCAAGGGACAGCCCCACTACCCTCCACAAGGACACGTGCAACCGAATTATCTTCCCAAGGAACAACCACACTACCCTCCACAAGGACACGTGCATCCCAATTACCTTCCCAAGGGACAGCCCCACTACCCTCCACAAGGACACGTGCAACCTAATTATCCTCCCAAGGAACAACCACACTACCCTCCACAAGGACACGTGCAACCTAATTATCTTCCCAAGGAACAACCACACTACCCTCCACAAGGACACGTGCAACCTAATTATCTTCCCAAGGAACAACCACACTACCCTCCACAAGGACACGTGCAACCTAATTATCTTCCCAAGGAACAACCACACTACCCTCATGAAGGACATAAGCAGACCCACTTCTCATCAAAAGAGCACGACAAAACGCATGAGCCGCAAAAAGACAAAAAGAAGCACATCGAACCCCAACAGAAGGCTTCAACACCAAAGACACCTGTTCCTGGTGCCTTTTAACTTTGATAACTTTGTGATAAGTAAGGCAGCTGTAGTGGATACTATATGTGTTGTCCCAACAGTATACAATAATCGTCGACAACTGAAATAAAAATCTCAGAATATGACGTATATTAACGAAGATTGGTGTATACTATTGAAAATAACTAATTAAAATATTGAAATAACTGGAATGTTTCATTTTATCAAATATCTTTATGCCTCGAATGTGGCACCTTTACATTATAATTTTACAACATACAGTACATTTATAACGAACACGGTTATATCGAACAGTTTGGGGGTCACATGTAATATATTTTAGTCAACATACTTATAACAAACTACGGTTATCACGAAATACAGTATTAAGTAATACTAGATTTGACAAAGACTTTTCGGTCGTTTTGAGCATGCACGACACTGATAAACTGAGGGGCGGTGGGATAGCCCAGTGGTTAAAGCGTTTGCTCATCACGCTGATGGCCCGGGTTCGATTCTTCATATGGGTACAATGTGTGAAGCCCGTTTTCTGGTGTCACCCGCCGTAATATTGCTGGAATATTGATAAAAGGGTCGTAAACCCCAACTCACTCACTCCCTCACTGAAGTCAAGATAGTGCTGTACGAACAGTTGACCAGCAGTTTTCTGAAGCAATAATGACATAATGATCAAGGTATACATCTTCGTTTGTTTGTTTGTTTGTTAGCGCAATGCTCCAGCTATAAGACTAATGAATAATGTACAATGTGATAACTGGATCTATCAAATATTTGGGTTTTTTTTTATTAATTTAAATACATCAGTTGAAATGGAGGCCACCACCTCGCAATAACACGTTACAAATTATAGTATGACCAGAAATTATTGAGAATTTTAGGAATATGTTTAATGGATTTCTAGTATAAACAACCTCGACCAGCTATCAAGTGCTTGGTTTCATTCAAGAGAGACAACTCCGTTAATCCGTCTTCATTAGTTTGTGAAGAGTTATCCCCCTTTGTTTACGTGTTAGCAGACGACATTTTCAGTGGTCCTCAGTGTGGTCGATTTAGAGAAGAGGAAGTTGATTTTAGAGTATTATAACAACGACATCAGATCAGCTAAAGTGATTTCAAGTAGAACAGGCATCCCTTTGTCCACTGTTTATCGTGTTTTGAAAAATATTGGCTTTGAGCACCTGGGAGGCGCAGGTAGGCCCAGAAAATTGACTGTCGGTGACAGGAGACGGCTTGGTATTCTTGTTGCTAAAAACAAACGAAGGAGTTTAGAAAACTTAAGGCTGGATATGATTGATAGAGGAACTGTGACAGTCTGTAGGGAGACAATTAGAACTGAGCTGCATGCAATGGGTTGACAGAAAGTCGAGGAATTCCATCACCGATCATGAAACCTGAACAAAAGGAGCGAAGGTTGAACAAGTGTTTACAGCATAGAAATTTTAACTGGGACAATATGATTTTCTCAGATGAAAGTTCTGTGTGGCTGTTTCCTAATACACTGAAAGTCTGGACCAAACAAACTGAAAAACCTTTGTATCAGCGCCCAAAGTACAGTCCGAAATTTAACGTGTGGGGTGGAATATGTGTGTTAGGGGCAACGCCCCTCTGTGTATTTGAAGGGAATATGAACAGTGAGCGATATACAGATATTCTCGAGGGACATTTACTTCCATCTGCTCACGTGTTCTATGGAAATTGGATTTTCCAGCAGGGCAACGACCCATAAGATCGTTCAAAGCATTCACAGGCCTGGTTTCGGACCCAAAATATGACATTATTAGATTGGCCAAGCTATAGCCCTGACCTAAATCTAATAGAAAATGTTTGGGGACTTAATATGAAGGAAAGTGTCAATAAGAAAAATCTGACAAATATTGCTGAAATGAAAGAAGAGGTGGTCCGATATTGGGACAGCATGGACCGCGACTTTCTAACTTCTTTGATCAGTAGTATGCCCCTCCGCATTGAAGCCTGCATTGCTGCCCATGGTGACTTGACAAAATACTAACTGTTCACCTGTCTTTGAATCTGGAGTTATGTTCTGCTAATATTCACATTTAATACGCGAGTAATGAGTGAAAAAAAAAAAAAAATTACAATCTTTAAATTCTCAATAATTTCTGGTTGTACTGTAAAATGGGGCGGTGTCGTAGCCTTGGGGTTAAAGCGTTGGCTCGTCACGCCGAGGACCCGGGTTCGATTCTCCACATGGGTACAACGTGTGAAGCCTATTGCTGGTGTCCCCCGCCGTGATGTTGCTGAAATATTGCTAACAGTGACATAACTACGCAAACGTACAATACAATATCACATTTTACGATTATGAGTTTAGCTTTCATTTGAAAAATCAATCTCTAATTAAATTTCAAATCGCCTACCATTGAGATGGGTTTAACACCATCCACAGTATTTAAGTTATAGGAAGGAGTGACTGAGTGAGTTTGGTTTTACACCGCTTTTAGCAATATCCCAGCAATGGGCTTCACATATTGTGCCCATCGAACCCGGGTCTTCAGCGTGACGAGCGAACGCTTTAACCACTAGGCTACCCCTTCGCCCCTATAGGAAGGAGGAAAGCAGGGTCTTAAACGTAGGCGATACCCACGATAATGAGTATGGTGCCAATAAACCATGACATGTCTACGGGGCGAACTTGGATTCGAACCCACATTCAGGTTTTTCAAGAAATATCATTGGGTGGAGTCTTGTTTAACGCCGCTCTCAGCAATATTCCAGCTATATGGCAGTGGTTTGTAAATAATCCGGACAAGACAATCCGGTCAATAAAAGCATGAGCATAGACCTATGCAATTGGGATACGATGATATGTGTCAACCAAATCAGCGAGCCTGATCACCCGATCCCGTTAGTCGCCTCTTTCGAAAAACATGGGTTACTGAAGATCAATTCTAACCCGGATTTTTACGTGTCTCTGGAAATATCAGCGAACAATAAATATCTTACACGAAAAACGCCAAGTGAAAAAACATAGAGTAACTATAGAGTACTGAAGAACGTCAGTAAACAAGAAACTATGTGCTAAAGGGCAAATTGTCATTACAGAACAGCGGTGGTGGGGTAGCCTAATGGTTAAAGCGTCCGCTCGTCACGCCGAAGACCCGAGTCCGATTCCCGGCATGGGTACAATGTGTGAAGCCCATTTCTGTTGTCCCACGCTGTGGTATTGCTGGAACATTGCTAAAAGCGGCGTAAGGTCACACTGACTCACTCATGAAAGAACACCAGATGGCGCTGCAGTTTTTCAACATCAACATTTCGAATTTAATCGGCTTATTCACACATCTATATAATAGATGCGTACTGCACAACACGGCGACGGGGTTCGCAACGTGTCACTCCTCGCTTACCCACTGTGTGACGTCATACACATTTTACGATTAAATGATTCAATTTAACTTTTTGGTTTGTTGTTTTTCGCCGCACGCAGCAATACCCCAGCTATATTACGGCGTTCATTAAAAAATCGAATCTGGCCCAGACCGAGCTGTGATTGGAACCATGAGCATGCAAGCAATTGGGATACGATAACATGCATCAAATAAGTCAGAAAGCCTTATCCCGTTAGTCGTTTCTTACGACGATGGGTTGATGAAGACCAATTCTAACACAGTTCTTCACCGTCTTTTTTTAACTTAATGAATGCCTGTAGAAGATTCAAGTTCAGAACGATAAAAGGAAGAACAAGTAGTTGCTTGCATTTTGAGACTTCATTAATTTCATTGGCCTATTTTGAGCCAGTCCGAGACAGGTGTCTATTCGTTCTCAAAGAAACCTGTACATATAAACTCGCTTCTGTGTATTCCAGTCTGGACACGTACAAATGCAGATTTTCTTGTGAAAGTGAGCATTAATATATAACGTCCCAAGCTCTGACTTCAGCATCTAAACAATGCAGATTTTCATGTGAAAGTGAGCATTAATATGTAACGTCCCAATCTCTGACTTCAGTGTCTAAAAAATGCAGATTTTCCTGTGAAAGTGAGCATTAATATATAACGTCCAAAGCTCTGACTTCAGTACCTAAACAATGCAGATTTTCCTGTCAAAGTGAGCATTAATATATAACGTCCAAAGCTCTGACTTCAGTATCTAAATAATGAAGATTTTCCTGTCAAAGTGAGCATTAATATATAACGTCAAAATCTCTGACTTCAGTAACTAAACAATGCAGATTTTCCTGTGACAGTGAGCATTAATATGTAACGTCACAAGCTCTGACTACAGTATCTAAACAATGCAGATTTTCCTGTCAAAGTGAGCATTAATATATAACGTCCAAAGCTCTGACTTCAGTATCTAAATAATGAAGATTTTCCTGTCAAAGTGAGCATTAATATATAACGTCAAAATCTCTGACTTCAGTATCTAAACAATGCAGATTTTCCTGTGACAGTGAGCATTAATATGTAACGTCACAAGCTCTGACTACAGTATCTAAACAATGCAGATTTTCCTGTGAAAGTTAGCATTAATATGTAACGTCCCAAGCTCTGACTTCAATATCTAAACAATACAGATTTTCCTGTCAAAGTGAGCATTAATAATATAACGTTCAGAGCTCTGACTTCAGTATCTAAACAATGCAGATTTTCCTGTGAAAGTGAGCATTAATATATAACGTCAAAAGCTCTGACTTCAGTATCTAAACAATGCAGATTTTCCTGTGAAAGTGAGCATTAATATGTAACGTCAAAAGCTCTGACTTCAGTATCTAAACAATGCAGATTTTCCTGTAAAAGTGAGCATTAATATGTAACGTCAAAAGCTCTCACTTCAGTATCTAAACAATGCAGATTTTCTTGTCCAAGTGAGCATTAATATATAACGTCACAAGCTCTGACTTAGTACCTAAACAATGCAGATGTTCTTGTGAAAGTGAGCATTAATATGTAACGTCCAAAGCTCTGACTTCAGTATCTAAACAATGCAGATTTTCGTGTGAAAGTGAGCATTAATATATAACGTCCCAAGCTCTGACTTCAGTATCTAAACATTGC